ATGAGAGTGGGAAAGAGTGCTAGCGCCTAGCAAGCCAGGGGAAACGCGTTTCTGGGCTACACAGACAAATCGGCTATCTGGACCTGCATTTTTGGCCCAGACTGTTTAAACTGAACAACAGGCCCATTTGAAATTTTAGTCCAACAAATTTAATAAATAAATAAATTTGCCCCCAAAAACTTTAAGATGAGTTTTTCTTAGGGGGAGCAAAGTGTGCTACAATAAAAAGCCCATCAAATAAGTAATCAATCTTTAAAATTGATAATTATTAGGCTATTTAAGTCTTTACCATTATATTAGAGCTCATAATTTTGATTGTTGACTTTAATAATTATTAATTAATTGATTTAGACTTTTAAGGATGGTCTTCATTTGATATTTGACTTTAACAATCAAACAATTTATCTTTAACTTTCATATATTTTTAGTATAAGTATTTTTATTTGGTTTGTTAATTAGAAACTACTTTATATATAATTTTTAAATAATTAATTAAAATCAACATTTTATTATATATAACAAACAATATGGATTATAAATCATTTTAATTATAAATTCATCGCTCAATCAATATAGTTTAAAGGCTTAAATTTATTTTTTTCTTATAATTCTGTTAATGAAATTATTATTATTATTTTTATATAATTAGATTAGATAACCTTTTTGGCTTTTTTTATATAACTCAGACACTAAATTAAATAATAATACTAGTACCAAGAACGAAAATAATTATGAATCATAATAAAAATAATTTCAAAGATAAAATTAAGACAAAACATCTAATTTGGTCCCTTATAATAATTAATAGTTTCAATTTCGTCCCTCTATAATTTTTGTTTCAATTTGGTCCCTCTATAATTTTTGTTTCAATTTGGTCCCTAATAATTTAAAAAATGTCAATGTGGAACTTTCCGTCCAAATTTCACAAACGGTGTTAAATGTAGATGACGTGGATGCCACGTAGATACACAAGTGGCAAGGTCTCATACTCTTTTTTTAATGTTGCTGGAACGGGCCGTTCTGAAACTAGAACGACCCGTTCTGACCCACTCATTGTGTGTTAATTTTGTATCTAAAACGGGTCGTTCTAGGTGCAAATGTAACACACAACGAGTGTATCAGAACGAACCGTTCTGGTTTCATTAAAGGAGCATTGACTGATGTTTAAATTTAAATGTTACATTTCAACAAAATGCACCAATGTGGTTCAAAGATTGAAAACAAAAATTCATAATATAGCATAAATTCAAATATAAAAATATGCACTTGAGTTGATCTTCTTATCCTTATTTTTCATCATTACCCATATAAATAATAAATTAGTTAGGCGTATATTAGTGTCTGAGTCGCCATGACTGGTTTCAGAACGGGCTGTTCCAAATCATTAAAAAAAAGGGTGAGAAGGGATGCTACCTATGCATCTACGTGACATCCATATCATCACATTTAATACCGTTTGTAAAATTTGGACAAAAAATTCCAAATTGATATTTTTAAATTATTGAGGACTACATTGAAACAAAAAATTATAAAGTGACAAAATTGAAATTATTAATTATTATAAGGACTATATTTTACGCTATCATTGTTATTTTTTAGGTGTACGAAAGTAACGAAACGTCGAAACCACGTGAATGCACCTCGCGAAGTAAACATAAACAGCTTTATAGCTTAGGCCTGAAGGGTCGTTTGTGTAAAACAAATTTCAAAACGTCATTTCACAATAATAGTCTTATAACTTTTTCTTGAAACTACTCTGTTTGATAGTAAGTGAAGCATTAGAAGAAAAAAAAGAGAATAAAAATAAGTGTTATATTAATTTCTTAATATAATCTTAATTAAATCTTTTATTTATATCTATAATAATATTGTATAAAAAATAATTTTTGTGTTGCATCATTTTCAAAATAAAAAATAATAATTATAAGATTAATTTTATAAAATAAGTTACCACACTTACTACAAGACTTTTAACATAATAAACCCAAGAGTGTTCCTCGAAGCAAGTAAGATTGAAAAACAAAATTGCAAATTAAATTAGGCATTCCATAATTAAACCTACTTAAATTTAAACAAAAATTACACAAGTGAAGTGGTAGTATTATTTTTTGAAAAAGTTAAAAGTGTTTTCAGAAGCGGAAACGATAAATGATGCATTGAATGGGTGCCTTTTTTCCATTTGACAAGTAGATGAGCAATCCGGGAAAGAGCGCATAATAAGGCCAAAGGTTAGAAATAATTTTGGGCAAAGGGAACGTGAGAAAGAAAAAAGGATCACCGATCACGATTGATATCTCCATAAAACACAAGACAAGACAACAGAACATAACATCATCCTTATCCTAATCTTCCTCGTTCCTTATCCCAACCCACATACAGATACAGAAATTAGAGACGAGTAGATGCTAAGGGAATGTAAATCTAGAAAAGTAAAAAGCAGGGAGAAAGAGATGCGCGAAATAGAGTGAGATGGAGGGGAGATAGCTAGCCAGTGTAGATGTGAACGCCGATGGCGATGAGGAAGATGGTGATGAGGCCAAAGTAGATGACGGCGTGAACCAGAATGGCAGCACCGCTGGTTTGCATGTTACCGAACTCAGCAACCCTTCCTCTAGCCGGTATCTGAAACAGGAGCCCCGGGCTGAGCAGCACGAACAGCACCACCGCGATGACCACCGGACCCCAATCAGCCATTTTAGAGACGTTAGGATTATGAGGGGACACAAAGTAGACAAGGCTCGCAAACACGGAAACTGATGCTTATCACTCTCAGTAAACGCGTCACCGTCTTAAATGCCATTTCAACGGCTCTGATCACGCCTCTCCTCACCCACAATTTAAATATATTATTCTTTAAATCTCGCATTTCCACTCTTTTAAGTCATAATGCATTTATCTCGATTCTCAATCTCTTCCAAGTTTAATAGTTCAAGTTTTTATATTATATATTAATTTTTATTGTATTATAAACTTAGTAAAAGATTCATTTGTTTCTCATACAAGTATATAATAATTAACTTATTAACTATATAAGTCATATTTATTAATTAAAAAAAATTAAATCACAAGTAGAGTTAAATAAGAGTTGACTTATCTTGTTATTTGCATAATCTTATATTTTAAATGGGCAAAATTATTTTAGGATTACATCTGTATTACATAACTCACAATCTAATGATCTTATTTGTAGTTCAATTATAAATTATAATACACAAATACAACGTATATATACATGTATATATATATACTATGAAAGTGATGCATTTAATATTTTTATCTTCCTAAAAAGTTTGTCTTTGTATTATCACTCGTACCTTCGTATTATTGGGATGAATAAGTCATTTCAATGGTATCGTTATGATGAGATTAACCCTATCTTCAAGTCACTAAAATCTATATAACAGTAAAATAATCTATGAAATGCTATAAAAAATATATATATAACTTCATTCCCTATGGTAAAGGGGAAACCTTAGGCCCTGTTTAAAAATAATAGAGGCGTCAAGGTGTCATTATCCAACATTAAAAAAAGACAAAAGCGATAATTTAGTTATTGCAATTTAAACAAAAACTATCAAGTCAATTGGGCCTTTTTGTAATACATTTGAGTCTCTTTCCTTCTCCACGATTATTTATCTGAATAGACTTATCAATGTTGACCTTATCAAACTTGGTTTTGTCCTCAAAGCCCTTAGAAGAATCTAGAACTTTTGAGTGAGGTGGCAGCACATTAATCGAGGAAGGTGGGGTGAAGTTTGAATTAGGGGGTGACAATAGGATGGATGCTTTCGAGGCATGAACCAGGGGATGAGATTGTGCATAAGGATTAGGCGAGAAGCAGTGAGTGCTAGTTGTATTGAGTGTGTCATTAAACAATGGAACAAAGTTTGTGTCCTTTTCTTGAGTTGAACCAATTTAGGGAACTAAAGTGAGGGAGGGAGAAGGGTGGGTGATTGAAATGATATTTTTCAAAGGAGGAAACAAATATAGAGGGAGAAGGATGAAAATTGTTGGTGGTGGGCCAATGAAACAACATAATAAAGAAATATGGAAGACGAGATGTATGTGTGTCGTCAAGGGAAGATCAAGTTTCTAGGAAACTTGGCCAATATGGTGGATGATATGAAAAGGCCCCTAAAAAAAGTGAGTCAACTTTTATAAAGGACAATGGCAAACAAATTACTAATGATAAAGTTGAAGTCAAAACCAAACCCATTCCTTTGGTTGAAAGGTAAGGTTTGTTCAACATTTGTTTGTGTGAGCTTCCATGATTTTTCATGTTCGTTGCAAAGAAATGGTGTCATTTGGAGGATCAGAAGATTGAACTTGATAATTTAAGGGGGTTAGGGGAAGATGACCATAAAGAGCCTAAAAAGGTGTCATGTTGATGGAGAAGTGCCATGAGGTGTTATACCAAAGTTCGACTAATTGAGTGAAATGTTACCACTTGGAAGGATGGTCACCAATGGAACAACAAAGGTAAGTTTGGAGGGATCGATTAACAACTTCAGCTTGTCCATCAGTTTGAGGGTGGTAGGCAGTGGAATACTTTAGAGTGGTCCCTTTAAAACCAAATAGTTTGCACTAGAAAATGCTAAGAAAAATAGGATTACAGTCAAAGAAAGTCATTTTGATAAGACCATGTAAACGACAGATGATCTCAACTAAAAATCGTGATGTAAGGTTGGTTGATGTAAAATGATCAGGTAAAACAACAAAATAACAGTACTTTGTAAGTCGATCTAAGATCACCTAGAAGATATGGTAGTGAGTTGAAGGCAATAGATGAGTAACAAAATTTATAGAAATATTATCCTAATAATTTTTTAGAACGGGTAGTGGTTGTAAAAGTTCCTATTTTTTTTTTTAAGTTAAATACTTGCTTTGAGGGTGACGATGAGTAATGGAGTTAAGTAAAACAAGGGAAAAAGGAGATAGAGTTTTGGTGATGGAGAGGAGGTGAAGGGATTAAATGGCATCCATATGAAAAAAATGCCAAAGTTGTTGGCGTGTAGAACGGTTAACTAGAGGTTGATCTACATAGAGAGTGATAAAGGAGTCATTATAGACGAATGACATACAAAGAATAGAAAAATTAGAGGTAATGGGTCTCAAGGCTTGTAACCATTCAATGCCCAACACAATATCAACTCCTTGGATGGGAAGCAAATAAACTAGAACTATGAATTGTGTTTTTTGGATGAGAACGGAAACTTGGTTGGAAAGACCCAATGAATGAATATGGGCACCATTACCCACCATGACAGGGGAAACATGTGTTGGGATGATAGGAAGTTGTCATTAATGAGCGATGTGGGGTTACATGGTTTTGTGATAACTGTTTGTATCAATAAGGATGGTTACTAAAAGACCATCAATGGAACCTTGAAAACGAAGAATCTGGGGGAAGAGTTGACCAGTTAGGGCTTGAAGAAAAATAACGGTTTTGATCTAGAAGAGAGTCATCAAGAGGGTCAAGTGGATCTAGGATAGGTGATTTTTCGTCAATGAGTAAATGGAAGAATTGGTTAGGGTTACATTTATGGCTAGGTAAAATGTTTCATCACAATTGAAACAAAGTCATTTCATGTGACATTCTTGCATTTAAGCATGGGTGCGACATTTAAGAAGAAGGGAAGGTGGGGACAAGTTGGTGGAAGAGTTGGCCGACAAGGGTTGTAAAGAAACAGGTGCAGGAAGAAGGAATTGGGAAATGATTTTATTGTGTGTTTGGATGAAGAATTTAAATGGAGTAATTCATTTATTTGAAGAATTTCAAATTCTTTAAGGTGAAATACTTTGTTTGGATGGAGAATTTATAAAGAATTTGAAATTTAAATATTTGTGAAATTCCTTGAAATAGTAGAATTTGAAATTCTCCCAAAAAAGTAAGAATTTCAAATTCTTCGTATATTTTTTTCTTCTTATTTCCCTTATATATTTTATCTTATCTCTTATCTCTTAATATTTTTAATTATTGAATATTAAAAAATATTTTTAAAATTTTTAAATATTATATTAAATATTTAAAAGTTAGCTAATATTTATTTTTATAAAATTTAATTCAAAAATATCAACATATAAATATATTTTTAAAATCAATTTTATCATGGTAGAATCGAATTATTATATCCAACTTAACAATTTAAAATTTAAAAAATTTGAATTGACTTATCCAAACAAAATATTTTAAAAATGAGAAATTGAAATCAAAGTAATTCAAATACTAAGAATTTAAAATTCCTTGAATTTGTAAAATCACTCATCCAAACACACCATTAGGTTTTGAATCACAAATCTTATCCTCCACTAATCTGGCAAGTCCTATGGATTGAGGTTTAAGGATTGCGAGTTCACATTTGATTTATGGTAGTAAACTTGAAAAGAAACAAGGGTAGATGGAGATAGTCCAAATACTCAATTTAGATAATATTTTTTAAAATGAAGTTGGTATTTAGAAACAATCAAGTATTGTCAAATTTTTAGTAATTTTGTTTAGAAAGATAGATCAAAATGACATTCAAGTACTCAAATAAAAAAAATTTAATCAGTTAATTAATTGTTATTGTATAACCACTTAAACCAAATAAGGGTATTACCCTTCACATAGAAAGCCATGAAAACATTAATTTGGGAAATTTAATAGTACGAGAAAAATTGTTCAGCTTGAAAAATCTAGCCTAAGAGATTAGACCATAAAAAATAAGAGTTAACATTTAGAAATGTATAGTATTTAAATATATCAACACATTGGAGCTTAATGAGAAATCAATAGGGGTGTAGTTTATTAAAAAAAATACTTTTTAATAATTATTTTCGAGGATGAGATTTACAAATCATATTTATATTTATTCTTTTAAAAATGTATTTATATATAAACTTGTTTTTCCGGCTACAATGCTTTCGACATTAATTCTTTAAAAATTAATTATATTAAAATGTAAAACACCCAACCCCTGGACATAGATTAATTTCGAAGATTTTTTTTTAATCTCGTGTGTCAGCTGGACTCATTATTATTATTATTGTGAGTATATGATAGGCAAACCTTTCAATTAATTGAAGAGGTACAACATGAAATAGCTGCATCAACGGCTACAGAAGTTTATGAAGTAGTGCAGCTGCATGATTATGACTCTGACTTTGAAATAAACAGGTTTGCAATTTGATCCTCGTTAGTTACCCACTAATATCACGTCTCTTAATATTAGCGAAACTTCTACGAATCATATGAACACCCTATAAAAAAAATGTTAACGCAAGCCAGTGTTTGGAGCAAGTCTTAAAATAATAGTATTACTTGGGTTAACCATGTATTTGAATGTGCAACTTAATTTTAATATTTATGATAGTAATTTTCATTTAAAGAATAATTTTAGTATATATTTAAATTAGTAGTTTTAAAATGATAAAAAAAAACTGGTGGTTTTAATCCCTATAAAAATATTGTAATCAAAATATTTATTATAAATATTATTTTTTTTACTATATTTACACATACTCAATCTTAATTGTGTTTATAAAATCAATTCTCTTATCTCAATGATTGTAATAATTGTTTTAAGACGTGTGGATCAATATAACGTTTTTAGATGGAAAAACCTTATTAGTGACAAGTTTAATCTATTTGCAATGTTAGCGAAAACAATTTATAATTATATCATATGTGTGACAGCAATGATATGATAAAACACATATCCGAAATTGGTAAAAAGGGATATAAGGTATTGTTTGTTTGTTTGGCGTCATCGGAGAGCACGTTACATGGCTTAGCCTCAGATTTCCGAATTGAGCGCAGTTGCTGTTACGACAGTGAATAAATAAATAAAAAGGAGTGATGAGGTGTAGCAAGGGCATTGGTCCCCCTGGAATCGGCTTGAACTTCTCCTCTCCCATCACCCCGCCTTTTTTTTCCACCCAGCTCCACCTCCACAACCCTCTCTCTCTCTTTCTCTCCTCGCCGGCTGGTCACCGGAAACCCTCATTTTCCGACCGCCCCTACCCCCTTCCCCCACTCGTTCCTCTTCCTATTGCACCCACACTCCTCATTTCATTTCAATTTCAACGCTTAGGTAGCGTCCGGGAAAGATAAACAAATATATATATAAACATGTCAAGCCTCGGTGGTTCTTATCGAAGGAGCGCTTCCTTGTCCAATAGCCCCACGCGCTCCAAGAAGAAACCTTCTGATTATTCACCGCTAGACTTAACTACTCGTAAAACGTTTTCCTCATTACGCACCACGTACCTTCTCATTCTCCTTTTTTTTACATTCATCTTTGCTGTTCTCGTGGATATATGTTTCCTTTTCAATTCAATTGTTAATTAGATTCCATACATAAATTCAAATTCAAATTCAAATATTATTACCAATACGCATATCCTCTTCGTGCTCCTGTCAATTGTGATTTTCTCTTTATGGAAACACATTCTCATGACTGATTCATTCATTAACCACTAATTTGTGATGCCATTGGATCAGGGGAGAGAGAACTGTGAAAACATTGCGGCTTTCAAAGGCATTGACAGTTCCTGAAACAACATCTGTCTATGAAGCTTGCCGTAGGATGGCTGCTCGCAAAGTAGATGCTCTATTACTAACTGATTCTAATGCTTTGCTCTGTGGAATCCTCACAGACAAGGTAAATAAATATTCGGCTTCTTTTTAGGATAGAATAAGAACAAAAAGTTTTGGGACTTTTCCTTGAATTTCTACACTTTTTTATTTTATATATGTAACTTGCTATCCTAATTTTGTGGTTAAAGGACATAGCAACAAGAGTTATTGCCCGAGAGCTTAATCTCGAAGAAACACCTGCTTCCAAGGTTATGACAAGGAATCCTGTATTTGTCCTTTCTGACACTCTTGCTGTGGAAGCCCTCCAAAAGATGGTGCAAGGTGGGTACTAGTATACGGAGAGAAGCACTTAATATACTTTTTCACGCTAATTGCTATTTTTGTATGAATAAAAACAAGGATGATTTATGTTTTCAGGGAGGTTCAGACATTTACCTGTGGTGGAGAATGGAGAAGTTGTAGCCATACTTGACATAGCTAAGTGTTTGTATGATGCCATTGCCCGTATGGAAAGAGCAGCTGAGAAAGGAAAGGCAATTGCCGCAGCTGTTGAAGGTATCGAAAAACACTGGGGAACATCTGCTCCTGGTTTGTACAGTATTTTCTTTTTGCATGCCTAGTTTGTATTTCTAATTATCGGACAGTGTAGTTAGCTTGCCAGTTTCTATAGGCTTGGTTTCGTTTCATGCTAATTTGGTCTTTGTGCAGGCTCCAATTCGTCATTCATTGAGACTCTTCGCGAGCAGATATTTAAGCCATCTTTGTCTACAATTATTCCTGAGAATTCAAAGTAGGTAATACCTTCTTTTGTTTTAGCTGAACAAAAGTTACCTCAGATTTTTTATTTTTTATTTTTTGCATGTTTGGAGTTATTTTATTCAAAGTGAACTCACCAGATAGTGGCACTTTACAGGGTTGTAACAGTTTCCCCAACAGACTCAGTTTTGACGACGACAAAGAAGATGCTAGAACTTCGTGTAAGTTGTGCTGTTGTGGCAGTTGACGACAAACCTTGTGGTATTCTTACGTAAGTGTGTTGCTATGGACATTGCCAGCCCTCCTTCTTTTTCAGAAAACATACACATTTTCTACGTTTGCCTTGCTCTGAAAAATAATTTTTTTTGTCAACATTTATCATCGGAAATTCGGAATAGTTTTGATGTACTATATAACCTGCATGAAAATTTCAGTTCAAAAGATATATTGATGCGGGTAATAGCACAAAGTCTTCCTCCATCGTCAACTCTTGTTCAGAAGGTACGACTAGACCTAGTGGTGTTTAGAGCCATGTTTATCCTGCCATGTTTTAGAAGGAAAAGTTGTTTTTCAGAGTGTTCGTCCAATTATCGTTTCTTGTCCCTCTTATTGACATTTAGTCAACACAATCAACAGGTCATGACTCCAAATCCAGAATGTGCAATAATTGACACACCAATTGTCGACGCACTTCACACTATGCATGATGGAAAATTTTTGCATCTTCCAGTGGTTGATAGAGGTAATATAAATAGTATATGAGATGAGTAACTAACAAGTTATTGCATCAATATTTTCTGATGTGTAGTTGAAATTTGAAAACAGATGGCATTGTTGTTGCTACGGTTGATGTGATTCATATCACTCATGCGGCAGTGGCGACAGCTAGTCAGGTATGCTTCTTGTACTATGTTTATACCCACTACTTTTTACTGCATGAAACATCTATTGAATCCTTGTTCTAACGGGGTATGTGGCTATTTATTTGTAAGTCAGAATAAATTATTGTCAGCTAACCTTGTTATTTTTCATGTCCTTATTTCGTTGTTTATCTTGTTTTGATGTTGTTATACAAAATCTAGTAAATTTTCTTAAAGCATGGAACTGGGTATTAAGATTAGAAAAGGAGGTGGCATATCATACTAAAAATCTTAGGCTATTGCTATTTGAGAGGGTTTTGATACGCCTTTTACATCAGCAAATTAAATGTTGACACGTGTGTTTAACAAGCTGAGTCATGGTCAGCTCTCTCATAACTGGTCAAGGGACAATTTTGAAATTTCACTTGGGACAGTACCTACAACCTCCACTTCCACCATTCCCTCACGACGGCAACAAGTTCCATCATAGTTATGCAGTGTGAACTCTCGACATTCTGAGCAGGATCCTGTCCAGTGGCTATGTAAATAGCTGAAACAATGTTACTAGCATGAGCGTTGAAGCCATCGAGAGCACCAGCAGCAGCGGAACTAGCAAGGTTTAAGCTCCACCAAAGCCTCGACGCTATTCTTCAACACTTTCTTCACCACCTCTTCCTTAATCACAGCCTCACACACCACTGACTTCCCTCGCCCCTCAATCCAGTTCAGCCCCCAACTTTCTTATCTGAACAATAATTTCCTGATAGATGACGAATTCGTCGGAGAAGATGAGGGATTTTTTTGGAATAAACCAATTGGGTCACTTACTTTGTCAGAGAAGACAATAGATTCGTCGAAGAAGACGATAGTTTCGTCGAGAGATGTTCCAAGTGAAATTCCAAAATTATCCCTTGACCGGTTGTGAGAGAATTGACCATGACTTACACATTTCAATATCTGATTTGCTGATATTAGAAGGGGCACCCGACCCTTTCAAATAAACTGGCACCGTAGCAATAACCAAAATCTTAATGAACCGATATTAGAAGTCACTTTTTTCCTTTCTTTTTCTCTGCTTCAACCTCCACATACTCTATGACGTAACATAAAGAATGCTGGACAGAGTTGTAAATTTTTACCGTTTCTTGTTTCATCTTTTCCATCATCATCATGACCAGAGTCATTAAAACAAAAACTGGTGCCTTTAATCACGTTGATTAGCGTCGTACAAATCGTTTACTGGCGTAAGATATCTTTTTCTCTCTTTCATGTCATGAAATTGAATATTTAGAGTTACCAATTGTCAAGCATTATAGAGAAGTCAATCCTTATATAAAATCCCCCTTAAGTTGAATTTCATGTTTATATTCTTAGTGGATACAGAGGAAAAAAATAAAATATTCTTTATTACTTTTGTTGCTGGCTTATCCCATGATGCATCAAGGATTTCTTTTACCCTTATTTTCAATTTATGCTCAATGGTAGCCTGAGTCGGGTCCCATCAATGACGAAAAGTATCTGGGACTCCGGGTTCAGATTTTCCCTCCCCTGCTTGCATTGTGTAGCTCCCAAGACAAAAAGAATATATTCAACAGTTTTTCCTAATGGATATAATTCTAAAATTATTTTCCTTTACTTACTGGGTTTGGAACATTTCTGATGTTATGTTGAATAGGCAGACACCATAATACCTAAATTCAACTTTTTTTCGGCTTCCATGATCATTTTTCGGGAAACATTTGTAATGACGGTATAATTTTCTCCACTAATTAGGTGGGAAATACTGCCAATTTTAACAATGAAGCTGCCAACTCCATGATGCAAAAATTTTGGGATTCGGCCATGGCCTTAACTGCAAATGATGAGGATGACGATTCACAAAGGTTACATATGTGTGTATGCGTCAATTTTTGCAAGGAAAAATTATTTCAATATTTTAATTTAATTACTCATTGTTGATTACATGGCAGCGACAGTTCCTTGAAAATGATTTCTGAGGGAGGAGAAACAGGGAGATCCATGTCTTATCTTGGGTCAAGCATGCAGAACGCATTTTCCTTCAAATTACAAGACAGGAAGGGTAGATTGCATAGGTTCACATGCGGTATGTCAAATTACATATTTCCAATAAGGTCTTTGCTTACATGTGTGCTTTGCCTCTCAACAATCTATCTCTTTTAACATGCAAAATTGCTAATGATGGTTATAATATATGCTCATATCCCGTTGTCGTTTCACGAGTCTCAGTTGAGTGTGACTGGTTTGCATGTCTTCAGTCAATTGATGCGTAAATCTGCATTCTTTATTAGTTTTGAGTAATGTTAGTTGCGCATATTGTACAGCCATTTAATTCAAACAGGGGATTCCGCTTCATTAATATTAATATTGATGAATAAAACAGAGAGAAAGAGAAGGGGAAATGAATGGTGATGAAACGTGAGAAACTTCTGTAGTTCAACATTGAATGATAGGTTAGGACTATGGGAACAATATGCATAGAAGTGTACTTGAGTTTTTATTTTAAGGAAATAAATAATGATGCATTTTGATAAAATACGTCTTCTTTCCTTCTATTAAATTTTTTATTTAAAAAAATAAAAGGAAGGAAAGAAAGAAGGTAATAATGGGTATTCTTTAACCTAAACGAGAAAATTGTTCATTGCCTGAAGTAGCTCCTTCAACTTTCAAGTTAATTAAGCATTAAGAAAATAATATAAGCTGAGTTGTTTGTCTGCTTGCATGCAACTTCAGATACTCGGAGCTTGGCAGAGGTTATAACTTCCATCGTTCAGAGAGTCGGTGATGATATTGACCCCAAGAACCTGCCCCAGATTTTGGTAATTTTGAAGATATTATATTTATATTCTAAAGTCAGTCTTTCCCATTTTCCTAATGCAAGCTAGTTAATTTGTGTGTAGTATGAAGATGAAGAACATGATAAAGTTGTACTGGCTTCAGACAATGATCTTACTGCAGCTGTGGACCACGCGAAGACGGCTGGTTTAAAGGTATGGTTAAATGGATTGTTTTTTTTCTTTTTCCTTTTTTTTTTTGTGGGAGGGAGAGGAGCTATAGATTTATTTTGAAGTTAGATTAAGCAAGATAGGATAATGAGTCTTTTTCATTTTTCTTTTTTAATTTTATATGGGATCACAAATATATCAAAATGGAATAGCAAAACCTAAAACGTTTATTGTCGGTGTCAAGAATCAATTGTCTTATAAGGTGAAAAAACTTGTTCATTTTATTTTATGGAAGAACATAAAGGTGTTGATAGAATATAAAAGATGCGTGTCTATCAGATACGGCTATTTTTTAAATTGAATTTTATAAATTAAGAGAAAGGTTAAAAGGAGTTAAGTTTAACCGCATAGTAAAAGAATCTTTGGTACATTGTAACTAAAAAAATGCTTAATTTGTATCATTTTAACGTCCAATCATCTAAACCTGGCTGTCTCTTGAGCGGAATTTGAACCTATCAACAATGATAGTATTTGAAGGAATCTGTCTGAAATAAGTTTGACTTTGAATTGATGAATTTCGTAGGGATTGAGATTGCATTTAGACTACTCTGGAACACGAGATTATGGAACTGATTCAAGTCCAGAAAGTTTGAGCTATGCTAATCCAGAAGCATGGGGCACGACACACAATGCCATTGCTGCTGGAGCTGCAATTATGGCTGCCTTAGGCCTATTGGCGTTTGTGAGGCGAAGCCATTGATAGGAAGAAGCGAGTTTTTGATGGGGGTAGAGGACAAAACTGAAGTCAGTTGGAACTTTGGAGGGCATATTTTTAGCACTTGCCAATCAGTAAGTTCTGACATTTTGTATAACAACTTGTATTCAATTGTTATGCGAGAATCGAGAAAGAAAGGAAAACCATTTTTATTCCAGTGTCTATAAATAACTATGTATCATCCCTTGCAGCTTGTATATTTGTAATTCGTAGTTTCAAAGTCTAATCTACACAAGAATTAACGACATTGCCATATGTATCTGTGTTTCCTTTCTGATATGTTACTAATAAATCAGAAATCGGGTTTGAGTTGACTAGAAACAGTCGTAGGTAGGTTTAAACGGATGTCGTTTGATAAGTTAATAAAATCTTTTACCATTAACTTATTTTGTGTTGTGTAGTAAGTGGTGATTGGTTACGAGTAAGAGGATTTCACTGTGATTATTCACATGTTGAAATAATTAGTCTGGATGTTATTCTTAAAACAATTATTACAAAACTTAATGGATGTCCTACATATATCACAATGTGATTAAACAGACACTAGAAGCAGAATTTTCAATTTTGAACTGTGCCTAGCGACGTTTGTACAAGATTATTCCCCCCATTGATATGTTTTATTATATAACTCATTAAAATTTAAAAATAAATACTCCTTTACTTACGTAGCTTGAAAACAAAACAATTTACAGATTGTTGTTTGACTAACTTATATCATATGAAACATGATATTGATCCGGCTACAAAAATGGAATATATAGAATACATCAAAACGATAACCCCAAAATAAGTGGCCTCTCCCACTCCCACTAAACAAACAACCTTCCAGTATGCCGACTCGTGAGAGTAGTTGGAGTTGGTGGGTGGTTCATTATTTAAAAATTTAATTTATATAGTATATATTACTACCACTACATGCTTAGGTATCGGATCGAACCGGAGGGAGGATCCCAATGTCGTGGGCCTGGATTAGGCATGAGCCGAGTTGGGCTTGGTGAAGAGCTGAACCTGAAGGTGCATGGACGAACGCATATCCGAAAAGAAGGTAGAATATTCTTTAAAGAGAGTATATAAAGATTTATGAAAATAAATGTGTTTTTATTAAAGAATCAATTGGTATTATCCAAATCAAGACGATTTCTACCCTGAACCGATATATCATATGGTTTATGGGTAGATCAAGAAATAAAAGTGTAATTTTTATATAATTTATTAGTGAAGAAATAAAAAAATACTATTAAATGTATGAATAATTAAATTAAATGTTTCACATTTATTTGATGATAAAATTCTTATTACTATATTAATTTTATTTTTTATGATAAATGATCATTTTTTTTTATTTTTATTTTATCTCTTTCAAATTCAGTTCATCGCTTATTTTGTGTCGCTTGGTGACAGTAAAGTTCTAGCAGACCTTAACATAGACAGGATCTTCAAGCGTTTCAGGTTAGTTTCGCTCCAAAGCTCAATGGCTATAATGACAAAGGTACCTTGGAGGTTTTAAAGAAGGTGTTGTTGTTCGCAAAGACACTAATGTCAAACATGAATAATGGCGATGAGTTCTCCATGTCGCGATATTGCACATTGTTTCAGAGCTTGGAGCTTGATGATGACAACAATGAAGGCATCTCAAAGGGTTTGAAGGAGTTGGCGTTGTTTGTGAAGACGTTGACTTATTCAGACGCAAACAATGGTGGGTTCTTCATGCCATAGAAGGACCTTAAGCCTTTAGCCCTAAACTCCTAACACTTCTTCTCTGGTGACGTTGGCTCCAACAACAACAAACCTTAACTCTAACGATGATCACAACATTGATGTCGATGATCGCACAACACTCCTCCTCGTCATTAGTCCTGACTCGGAGCATTGTGGGAAGCTATCGGCAAAGGTCAATGCGAATCTACACCACCATGATCGAAGAAGCGATTTCGTAGCACTACACATGATCACAAGTACGTGTGACAAAAGTTTTTTAGATCTTGGCTCAAATTCGTTAAGCGACCTCAACTCATAACACTCTATGCAAGGACGGAGCCAAGGGGGGACCTACGGGTGCCACGGCCCCCCCAACAATTTTAATTTTTTTTTATATTTTTTTTTATATGCTTTTGATACTTTAATTTTCATTTATTATAAATTATATATTATTTATTCTCGGCCCCCCAGTATTGAAATCCTGGCTCCGTCCCTGACTCTATGAAGCTATTAGTAAAGGTTGGTGTGAATCTACACCACCACAATCGAAGCGACAACCTTCCGATCATGAACGATGCAAGAAAGATGTTGAATTTTTTTTTTAAAAAAAAAACTTTTAATAATTTTAAATAACAACAACAACAATAACAACAACAATAACAATAATAATAATAATAATAAAGTCAAAATCTTTAAATTTATAAGTATTGTAGAAATAATAAAGTCAAGGTCTTTGCAATAATAATAATAATAAATACATGGAGCAAATTTATTGTGAATGACGTTGGTTCTATTATAACCTGTCAAACGGTGGGTTTGTTCATTTATAGCCATCCGGCGTAGTTTTTAAGGCTTTAGATAAAATATGTTTTAACAATATGATTATAATTAATAATTTAAAATAAGAAAACATAGTTTAAAATTGGTAACGATAATAAATATATTGATTATAATTAATAATTCATCATAAAATCAATATGTTATATTTTTGAAAATGTCTTCATAAAATTCACAACTTTATATTCGATGTATACAATATTAAAGATTGAGCAAACAATTAAAAATTAAAAATATTAAAAATAAAATTACAAAAATTTTAAAAATAATAAATATGAGTGGATGAGTATCTTTATTGCTAAAAATAATCAAGAAATAAAGGAGAAAAAAAAATATATAAAAAGTAATGTTTTTAAAATCAAAACGGTTATATATATTATTTCAAGATTTAATGATTCGATCATATTAAACAATAATTAAACCAATATTAATAAAATATAATAGTTTATTATTAATATAAAAATAACACTAAATAAATATAATAACAATTTTTTAATACTAAAATTAAAATAAATAACATTTAATTAATGTATATATTAAATTCTAAACTAAATATATTAAAATATTTAAATTTAAATTTGAATGAAATGTAACTTTGTGTATTAATAATTAAAAGTTTACATCTAAAATAAAAATATCAAATAAATATAATATAAATTATAAAAATAAAGATATAAACAAATTAAAAATTAACATAAATAATTGAATTATATTTATAAAAAAACATTAAAAAATATATTTTAATTTATAATTTTCTATTAAATATGTATTTAAAAAAAATACTTTAAATTAAATTATATATATATATAATAGAAGAATTACAATAAAATAAATGACCGTGATAAAAAAAATGCTTACTTATTTTTTAATCATAAAATATGAAGTAAATTTGTTTATTTTTCATCCTTTTCTTTTTTTTTTTTACCCCGAACCTCTCTACTTAAATATCATTAGTGATTCGTTATACATAATATACCGTATGGCGGCCGAAACGCCCGAATACCCGAGATCGTTGCTTGTGCCGAGTACCCGAACCCGCCGACTACCCCTACATGAGGTGAAACGGGTCGGCGGAGTCGGCCGAGTATGTCGATATCATCTAGATGGTTACGGAGAGATTAATTAACATAATGCACAGGATTAGACCCCTAATTTTCCGGGGCCCAGTCCCTAATTGCAGTCCAATAAGAACTACTATAAATAGGACCCCAACGAGGAATATAATTAATTCTGAACTACCGCATTTATTATGCCGAGCACTAACTTGAGCTTCGGAGTGTCTTTGCAGGCACACCCCCCTTTTTCTCTCCTTGGGACCATCCGGATTGGAACAAGAAGACTGAGACCGAAGAACCGACCCGTCACAACGAAGATAATTGAAGTGTGTATCCTAAAACAGGAAGACATAATAAATCTATCAATACATTGGTTACCAAAAATATCATATTAATTAGCGATTCGTCATATTAAAAATCACTCGCCATACATAATAGATCTATGAATGTATTTATTAGTAAAAATATGATATAAGTAGATATATAAAATTTTGTTGGAGGAAGGGGTCTATATAAACACTTGTTGGCATCCACAAAACATATTCACTTGTATTCCTAAAATGAGTCTCTCAAAGCTCTTGTTCTTTACTTTGGCTGTATGCCTCACTGCTTGCTCGCATGCAGCAAGGTTTGACATAAAAAACCAATGCCAGTACACTGTGTGGGCCGCGGCTGTGCCTGGCGGTGGCAGGCAATTAAACTCGGGCGAGTCGTGGGCCATTGACGTGGCGGCAGGAACGAAGGGGGCCCGCATCTGGGCCCGAACGGGATGCAGCTTCGACGGTTCGGGCCGCGGTCATTGCCAGACCGGTGACTGCGGGGGCCTGCTCCAGTGCCAAGCGTACGGTGCAGCTCCGAACACGCTGGCGGAATTCGGGCTGAACGGGTTCAACAATTTGGACTTCTTCGACATCTCCTTAGTGGACGGTTTCAACGTTCCGATGGACTTCAGCCCAACCTCGAACGGGTGCACAAAAGGCATCAGATGCAGTGCTGACATTAATGGAAAGTGTCCGAACGAGCTCAAGGCTCCAGGGGGTTGCAACAACCCATGTACTGTCTACAAAACCGACAATTACTGTTGCAATTCCGGTAACTGTGGGCCCACTCCTTTGTCGAAATTCTTTAAGGATAGGTGCCCCCAAGCTTATAGTTACCCTAAGGACGATGCTACAAGCACCTTCACTTGCCCCGGTGGTACCAACTATAGGGTTCTCTTTTGCCCTTGAACACTTTAACTATCCAACCACTACATGCATGCACTATAAATATAAGTCTTCTGCACTTTGCGTGCTCCTCTACTATTATAAATAAATTTTGAAAAACATAATAACTTTAAAATAATTTATGGGTATCCATATTATATTAAACTTCAGTGCCCCCATTTTAATTATTCCAATCTCTATCATTTTCTTTTTCTTCTTAAATTCTCATTCTATATAATAAATTGAAGACCAAAGTTGTGCCATTATTGTTAGCGAATAACCTCGTTCTTTTAAGTACGTGGAGTCAAATATTATTATAATACTCGAGTCATTGTCGTTTAGTTTAGATTCTTTTGTAAAGCATTTCATTCATCAAACATAAAAATAAATTATAGTTTCATTATTTTTATTTTTAATACAATATCAAACCAAATGATCTCCTATTTAATTAAATTAAGCTATATAAATCAGTTTCTTATTTTATATTTTCTCATGCTAAAATATGTAAAATATTATATTCACGTTATTTTCATTTTTAAATGATAATTTATTTGTTATAATAAATTACTAGTTTTTGCCTACTCAATACTCACCCTAACAATTCAAATATTCAATAATGCATATAACTTTTGCTTCTCTAGAGGCAAACGATAAATCATCTAATATTTCTCTTAACTGCTAAAATTTTCTTAACAATTTCAAAATTATATATAAAAAAGTAATTAATGAAGAAGCATAACTCCTTTCCAAAGAATTGGTCCATCTAGGAATAAAGTAATGATTTCAGTTATGATTCCATACCCAAATTAGATATCTAACTTCAATCTTTAGTTAAGAAACTCAAGAATCAAACTGCTTCTCCTAACAAATTTTAATTATCCAAATTATATTAAACATTGTAAAAGTGTCTCAATAACAAAAGTAACATTAATAGTATATGATAAAATTTAATTCAATTTAAGAAAAACTGAAAATATTTTTTATTATTATTTCAAAGTAGCTAGTTAAATGTTCATTTTTAATAAATTTATCTAAAAACCTCTCGGAGAAGAGAATAAGCAAAAAAAGGTGAAATAAATTTCTTCATGATTTAAAACTAACTAATGGATAAGTTAATTTTAATTTATAAAAAAATATTTTATATTAAATTTTCTATTTATAAGTGATTATAGAAAATTTTATTTAAACAATTCCTAACAATTTAATCAATTTTCATTTTTCACTATGAAAAATATGTCATATAATAACACATATCCTATAATTAATTATACAATTCTTGTCACTAAAAATTAATTTTATTTATACTATAGATACAATATATGTTGATATATGTTCTAATAAAGGATAACAGTCGAAGAATCCTTTATAATGTGAATTCTAAGAGAACCTATAGTCATTATCCTAACCTAAAACATTTAAGGATGAGTAAAAAATCTAGCTTTCGTAAAGCCCTTTCCTTTTTATATATGAGTGTCATATCAAGAATATGAATCTTTTTCTCTGATCTCAATCCCTTGAAATGCACATGAATATTCTTCCCATAATGAGTATATCAATCACATTTATAATTGTAACCGAATTTGTGCAAGAATCACGGGAATCACTTTGATTAGTCCCAAGGGAATCCATTCATTATGAAACCTATGAGTAACCTTAAAATTTGATCTGCTCTGTCAAATGGTGATTTGAAGGGTACGTAGCCCTCTAAGCTCCTTTGTTAACAATATAAGGAGCCTTGGTTCGGCCTGCTTGGTCAATTGAAGACCTAGAGGGCACATAATGTTCCAGGCTCTTCACGTCAACAACGCAAAAAGTCTTTGCTCAGCCTGATTGGTCAATTGAGAACTTAGAAGGTATACGGTCCTCCAAGTTCGAGTTTCAACAACGCAAAGAGCATCTACTTGACTTGATCGGTCAATCGGAGACCTAGAATGTACAATATATTATTAAAAAATATATGTATAAACTATAGTAACCACAATATATATTATTCAATCTCATCCAAAATTAATATTAAAATTATATATTTAATATATGTCAAATAATTTTGTACTTATATATATATATATAGACATATATATTATATTTTTATAATGAAACTTTTTATATATAATATTTATATTCGTATGAATTTAAGATTTTAGTTACTTCCTTTTAAATACGGGGATGTTGTATATTAATTTGTAATTACTACCTTTTACTTTTAGATCAAGATTTAGTTCGAAACCCATGATATATAGATATAATAGAATAGGATATATATTTGAAGAGTCACTAATTAACCACTAGTTCAATGAAAACAATAATGATGATGTGAAGTGTGATAACTTTTCAAATCACCCAGGACAAAACTAGATTGCCTTTGCCAGCGGATAGGTGTTACAATATATTGATAAAGTCAAGGTTTATAGTTTGGAAATATTTCACAATTTTTTTTTTTGAATTGAATGAAACAACATCTCATCTATAATATTAAGGATAAAATCGATAAAAGAATGTGTACAATAAGTTAATTGTTTACTCTAGATATATACTAACCGCTTTCTTTATGATATTAATTGCCTATGCATTTATTTTATTTTAACGAAATTACATAGTGTCATTATTTCTGTTAGGAAATATAAAAATATTACATAAACATTGGTGTCAAGACTAAAAAATGGAGGTCGTCGATGAATTGTCACTTTGTCAGCCTCCTTCAAATTGTCGGTTTTTCATATTATCAAGTCGGTCTCCCTGGAATAGTCTTTCTCTCGTATATTTAATATTTTATACCCAAATTAGATATTTAACTCCAATCCTTAGTTAAGAAACTCAAAAATCAAACTGCTTGTTCTAACAATTTTTAATTGTCCAAATTATATTAAACATTACAAAAGTGTCTCAATAACAAAAGTAACATTAAATAATAAAATTTAATTCAATTTAAGAAAAACTGAAAATATTTTTTATTATTATTTCAAACTAGCTAGTTAAATGTACATTTTTAATAAATTTATCTAAAAACCTCTCGGAGAAGAGAATAAGCAAAAAAAGGTGAAATAAATTTCATCATGATTTAAAACAAGTTAATTTTAATTTATAAAAAATAAATATTTTATTTTAAAATTTCTATTTATAAGTGTTTATAGAAAAATTTATGTAAATATGTCCTAACAATTTAATCAATTTCCATTTTTTCATTATGAAAAATTTATTATTATATAGTGACACATATCCTATAATGATACAATACTTGTCACTAAAAATTATTTTTACCAATATAGATACAATATATGTTGGTATATGTTCTAATAAAGGGATAGCAGTCAGAGAATCCTCAGTATTGTGAATCGTAAGAGAACTTAATCATCGTCCTAACCTAAAACATTTAAGAGTGAGTAAAAAATATAGCTTTCATCAAGCCCTTTCCTCATTATATATGAGTGTCATATCAAGAATACAATTCTTTTCCTCCGATTTCAATCCCTTAAATTGCACACAGATATTCTTTCCATAATATGAGTCTATGAATCACATTTATAATCGTAATCGAATTTGTGCAAAAATCACGGGAATCACAACCTTGATTAGTCCCAAGGGAATCCATTTGTTATGAAACCCGTGAATAACCTTGAAATTCGATCTGCTCGGTCGGATGGTGATTTGAAGGGTACGTGGCCTACTTGGTCAATTGGAGACCTAGAGGGCACATAATGTTCCAGGCTCTTTACGTCAACAACGCGAAAAGCCTTTGCTAAGCCAGATCGGTCAATTAGGGACCTAGAGAGTACACAGTCCTCTAAGTTCGAGTGTCAACAACGCAAAAATCCTCTACTCGACTTGATTGGTCAATTGGAGACCTAGAAGGTACAATATATTATTAAAACCTATATATATATAGACTATAGTAACCACAATATATATTATTCAATCTCATCCAAAATTAATACTAAAATTATATATATAAATTTATTTAATTATATGTTAAATAATTTAATACTTATATATATATAAAGTCACATATATATATTATTTTTATAATGAAACTTTTTATATATATAATATTTCTATTCGTATGAATTTAAGAATTTAGTTGCTTCCTTTTAAATACGGGGATGTTGTATATTTGTAATTACAACCTTTTACTTTTAGATCAAGACTTAGTTCGAAACCCATGATATAGATATAATACAATAGGATACATATTTGAAGAGTCACTGACCACTAGTTCAAAGAAAACAATAATGATGATGTGAAGTGTGATAACTTTTCAAATCACCCAGGACTAAACTAAATTGCCTTTGCCAGCAGATAGGTGTTAGAATATATTGATAAAGTCAAGGTTTATAGTTTGGAAATATTTCACAATTTTTTTTTGAAATTGAATGAAACAATATTGCATCTATAATCTATAATAATATGTAAAAATATATTTTTTTCGTGTCTATTTTCCATTTATATATATATATATATATATATATATATATATAT